TTAAAGGGTACCTGGCTCATGCCCCAGAGGCATCCCGGCCACTTTTCAGCCACGGCAAACTCCTCCCACCGGGGTAACGTGGGCCAGATAATTTAATCCCCTCCCATCACGCCATTAAACTCTGTAGTCACCATTGGCCTCATGGTAAAATCCCTGAGCAGTTTCCTTCCTCTCCGGCAACTGAGTTGGGAAGGACGCCTGTATCTTTGTAGTGACTCGGTGTATTAACACACCATCCAAAGTGCAATGAATAACTTCACCATGTTGAAAGGGATATTCAATGTCTGCTTTTTTATTTTTACCCATCTACCTACTCATCTGCCCTTCTTTGTGAGGCATTGGAAAACCTCCCTAGTTTTTGTGGTTAAATCTGTGTTTGAAATTCACTGCTCGACTGAGGACCTTACAGATAATTGTGGGTTACAGAGATGAGGTAGTGCAACTTATGTGACTTGTTAAGCACATGTTTACTCCTGAACTCATTTAGGCTTGCCATAACAAAGAGGTTGAATACTTATTGACAAGACATTTCAGCTTTTTATAAATAAATAAAAAATGCTGTAGGCCAGTGACAAAAAAAACAACTCAATTTAATCGATTTTAAATTCAGGCTGTGTGGAAAAAGTCAACGGGTGTGAAAACTTTCTGAAAGCACACACACTCTTACTGCACCATGTCTTCCTTTGAACATGAGTATGAAAAAAACCTTGACATGCCTTCTCCCCTACCCCCTCCTCCAGACCAAGGTGAAGTTCCTTGACATGCCTTCTCCCCATCCCCCCTCCTCCAGACCAAGGTGAAGTTCCTTGACATGCCTTCTCCCCTACCCCCTCCTCCAGACCAAGGTGAAGTTCCTTGACATGCCTTCTCCCCTACCCCCCTCCTCCAGACCAAGGTGAAGTTCCTTGACATGCCTTCTCCCCTACCCCCCTCCTCCAGACCAAGGTGAAGTTCCTTGACATGCCTTCTCCCCTACCCCCCTCCTCCAGCCAAGGTGAAGTTCCTTGACATGCCTTCTCCCCTACCCCCCTCCTCCAGACCAAGGTGAAGTTCCTTGACATGCCTTCTCCCCTACCCCCCTCCTCCAGACCAAGGTGAAGTTCCTTGACATGCCTTCTCCCCTACCCCCCTCCTCCAGACCAAGGTGAAGTTCCTTGACATGCCTTCTCCCCTACCCCCTCCTCCAGACCAAGGTGAAGTACCTGAAGCAGACATCAGTGATGCTCCAGAGGGAGTTTAGAGGGGACATCCCTAACACAGTGGAGGGTCTGGTACGACTACCTGGAGTAGGACCCAAGATGGCTCACCTGGCCATGGACATCGCCTGGCACCAGGTCTCTGGTATAGGTAGGTATGGCTCAAATAGGACTACAAATCCCATACTCTAGTCTGCATGTTGTTATGTGGTGTGATGGGTCTGATTATGTGCAGAGTGGTAGTTGTAGTTCTTTTGATGCTTTTATTGTGTGTGTGTGTGTATAGGCGTGGACACACACGTCCACCGTATCTCCAACAGGCTGGGATGGACGAGAGGTGGGATCAAGAACCCAGAGGAGACACGCAAGGCCCTGGAAGACTGGTTACCAAGGTGACAACACCACTTCCTGTCCCTCTGACCTATCAGGTCACTCGTTAACCAGTCACTGACCAATCAGATCCCCTGCAGCAGGAAAGGAAAACATTTGGCCTTGTGATTTCTGTCTGACATGATGATTTTGATGAAGACGGGGATGGTAATGATCTTCCTCTCTCACAGGGATCTATGGAGTGAGATCAACTGGTTACTGGTGGGGTTTGGTCAACAGGTGTGTCTACCTGTCAATCCTCTCTGCTCTGTGTGTCTGAACCAGCACAGCTGCCCCTCCGCCCACCAAGCCTCCCCAGCCAAGAGGCCTAAAGCTGGGTCACCTCGCTCCCCTAAGACCTCCAGGATGAAGCTGGAGCCTGGTTCTTTTGGTTTGGGGTTATCAGCCCCCTCCTCAGCCACACTGGTCAAAGAGGAACCTCTGGCTACCCCCATCTCCCCTCCTCTGCTGCCCAGAAAAAGGAAGTCCAAAACATTCTCTACATGATACGACAGAAGGGGATGGCATCCCTATAGAGACCTTGTCCCAATTCTCTCTCCTTCCTCCCAAAGTGTGCACTTGTCACTTCCCTTGACTGATTTGAAATGACTAGTCCAAGAAATATGGCATTCAAACTTTCTTAGCGGGGACACCATTTTTTCAGACAATTTCTGTGGACCCCATTTATTTTGCCAGAATTTCTTACGACCCCACCCCAAAATAACCATAATCGATACATTTTTACATATCTTATCAAAATGAAAATAAACCAATAAATGTACTAAATAAAATTGTATTTTTCAAATGTTCTCAAACACGTTTGTATATTGTCCTATACAATAATCTGCATTTAAATGTTTTGTTCCCAAACCAAATAGCGACCTGACAACACCACTGATGTAATCCTTTCAGATCAACCAGAATGCCTAGGATGTGTAGGGGCCAGAGGTCCATTTGGGATTAACAATGGGAGTGTACGACACCCCTGGGACTCATCGCCACGTGATTGAGTACCCCCAGGAGACTACAGGGGGGTTTGTTGGATCCAGTGGTCAACTGATTGTCGCAGTTCTAATCAGAGTTTGCGCTTTTGGATAGAATGCACTTTATCATTCTACCCATAAGTGACCACTGAAGTGGGTGTGATATGTATCCATTGATCTTTAATATACTGATCAAAAGTATAAACGATTTCACAGTTCAAATAAGGAAACCAGTCAGTTGAAATAAATTAGGCCCTTATCTATGGATTTCACATGACTGGGCAGGGACGCAGCCATGGGTAGGCATAGGCCCAGCCAATCAGAAATACTTTTTCCCCACAAAAAGCCTTTACTACAGGCAGAAATACTCCAGTTTCATCAGCTGTTCGGGTGGCTGGTCTCAGACAATCCCGCAGGTGAAGCCACCGGATGTGGAGTTCCTGGGCTGGCGTGGTTACACGTGGTCTGTGGTCGAGGCCGGTTGGCCGTACTGGCAAATTCTCTAAAATGACGTTAGACACAGCTTATGGTAGAGAAATGAACATTCAATTCTGGCAACAGCTCGTGTGGACATTCCTGCAGTCAGCATGACAATTGCACGCTCCCTGAAAACTTGAGACATTGTGTTGCGTGACAAAACTGCACATTTTAGTGGCCTTATTGCCCCAAGCACATGGTGTACCTGTAATGATCATTCTCTTTAATCAGCTTCTTGATATGCCCCACCTGTCAGGTAGATCATCTTGGCAAAGGAGAAATGCTCACTAACAGGGGTGTAAACAAATGTGCACAAAATGAGAGAAGCTTTGTTTATGGAACATTTGAGATCTTTTATTTCAGCTCATGAAACATGGGACCAACACTTTACATGTTGCGTTGATATTTTGGGTCACTATAGTTTAAGAATTCCTGAGCACTGTCCAATCAAGAGGGCTTGTTACATCTTCTCTGAACATCTGGCATTGTACTGGTCATGAGTCTCACTGCTTTTCAAAAGGTAGTGTTCTCACAGCACACTCTTGTTCATAATCCCAGTATGTTTGCATACATTACTTTCATATAGTTTAGTGAGTCGTGTCGTCAACAGGGCTCTATAGTACCCGTTGTGTGCGTCTGTCATGTCGATGGTTCTGTTCATCTAACTGATTTGTGAGGTATGTATGACCACATCTTTCCTGTGGTGTCCACACCATTAGGAGATCATCATGGACATTACAGACAGGACTCATTCCTTTGGAAGATTTGTTTATATAATTTAGTGGCAAAATGTTCTGAGCCCATTCCCTGATGAGGAATAAAAGAACCTACAGGGGTCCATGACAGACTGCAGAACAGAAAGTGAGAAACCAAAGCTGTGTACAAAATTGAGCAATAACATTTCCACCTTTGTAGAACTGGCATCCCTGATTAACAGCAGCTCTGGAGGTATAGTTTGTTAACTGAACCCCAATGACATTCTGCTCTGTCCATGAGTTCCCAGTACACCCTGTGGCAAGGCCAGGTTCCCTCCAGTAGTAGAACCACTGCCTTACAATATTCACCTCAGCACTCACTGCTTATCAGTGTGACAATCTTTAAAACAAACACTCCAGAAAAGGGTTATAATGAAAAACTTTATTTCCAGTTACATCATTTATTTACTTCAGCACTTGAAAGAGGTCTGAAGGGTTGCAGGTGTGACCTCAATGTCATCTTACATCTGCAGAAGAGCAAATAAATTAAATGTAACAGACCAGCAATTAGATTAAAGAATATAGGCTCCCAAATCATTTATACTACATGTATAGTTTATGGGTCAGCTAGAAAACAATTATTCATCACTAATAATTCTAGATGTAAAATAGCTCACCAGCTTGGAACTCCTACTTGCAAGGGAAGACATATTCTGTCTCAGCCTGGTCACCTGTAACCATAGTACATGTTAGTCTCAGTAAATGAACACAAGTTGACCAAAAATGTTAGTTAAACCATGGAAAAGGAGGTTTTGGGGCGGGTTAGTAAATCAACTTGCTTGGCTGGTAGTAGTCGTAGATCTTGACCACCGCTGGCTTTAGATTCTGTACTGGGAGCTCCTGTATGATGTCCAGGGTGATGGTGAAAGGAAATAGTGATGTTAACTGTTGGGAGAAAAACAAACATATTGGTCATTAAATGATCTAAGCAGAAGTTACATTTCAGCTTTGCTGACATGTCACCACAAGTACATCTATATATATTATTTTGAAATAACACCCATTATATTATTGCAGAGTGCTATGTGGACCATTTCAAACTGATGGGTGGTTTTCACCTCACCTCTGTCAAGTACGTTAACACATGGTCATCTTTGGTATCAATCCGATCCACTTGACTTGAACCCCTCAGCTGTGAAGACAAGCCATTCATATTGCATGGACAAAAACAGTCAGTGTTAGAAAGGGTCACAGATGAGGCAAGACCTCCATGGATAAAGGTCACAAAAACTCACCCTCCCCAAAGAGTCTGGATCTGGGGAAAACCCAGAGAGCATTTTCAAATCCACTATAATCATATTGGTGGTCAGCTCCTTTCCATGATATCTGTGAAAACAAAGAGATTATTGATAAAGTTGGATTTTGACAAGCGCTTGTAATAATCAAATGAATGGATCCATGGGTTATTTTAGCCATAACCTCTACAGGATCGGTGTCCCTATACTGGGACGGTTGTTGCTAGCGTGACTAGAATGACGTTGTAAGTAACTTTCCAGGACAGACATGTCTTATCTGGGCAGAAAGCTTTACATTCTTGTTAATCTGACTGCACTGTCCAATTTACAGTAGCTATTACAGTGACAAAATACCATGCTATTGTTTGAGGAGAGTGCACAACAACTTCACGCAACTTGGATTATTTTAGCCATAAAGACCAGGCTGCCAGATACATCATCTTATTGTTACTTATCCAAGCCTAGGTATCAACTGGAAGGTCAATAACATACACCGGTATAATGAAACTAATTCATTTGGGTCAAATCCATTCTGTAAGACACCCTCCAAAATAAACACTGAAGTGTCAATGAACACATTTAAAAGAATGCTGTGAATACAAAAACGGGTCCTTCATTCTTACTGACACTGGAGTTTCAGCGTGACTCTGGGTCGCAAAGACTTGCTGTTGCAGTCTACCTCTGGAGTCACCTGGATACTGAGCGTTGTGCTTTTGGTAGGAGTAGGGATGTTGTAGTGGAGCGCCACCTGGGACAGAGAAGAGGAAGTCAGGGAAACCATCCTGTCCAAAAACAAACCTTTTATAAGCAACAATAAATATTTAATGAACTAGAAATCAAGCCAGAAGAAGCTTCTTATAGGTTTGACCTTCCCAATAATGTATATTAAAGCACATCTTACACCACAGGACTGGGAGGAGAGATGTGTATTCACTGACCTGCACTGAGGCACAAGCGCTGCCCTTCACTTCAATGCTGTACTTCCCTTCTGTGTCCTGCAGCGCCCTCTCCTGGTACAGAAGCTTGTTGTTTTGGTTCACATAGAAGAGGTACTGATGCCCACTGGGAGACTGTACTGTCACTGTGCTGGCTCCTCCTCTACTGAACACCCTGGTGGAGTAGAGAGCCAGGGCCTGGAGGGCCACCACCGTGTCCTAAACAGACCACAGGGAAAAATCACTTCAAAATTAAAGAGCCCATTTTACAGAAAGGGTTGATTTTTACATTGAACAGTTCCTAAAGTGACCATTTCCCAATTCCATGGCTCTGTATCAGTGGAAGTTAGCCTCACCAGGCTGGACATGAAGAGCACATGCCTGTGGTCTGATAGAAGTCAAAGTAATAATGTCTCTACTAGTGCACAGCACAGGGTGCCATTTCAGACCAATGTGTTTGGGAAGTCTACCTGTGTGGAGGAGAAGCCTCCGTAGGCGTTCTGCTGCCTCACCAGCCACCTGACGATGCGGGAAGCGTAGCCCAGGTCAGAGGTAGACAGAGGAGAGGCACTGAGGGACGCCAGTAGAACGTAGGCGCTGGTCTCCACCTCAAGGGATGGTGAGGTCTCTGAGGAGGACTGGGACCAGTGCAGGAGACCCCCTGAGGGTCGAGGAGAGCGCACAAGTCAGAATAAGGACTGCTTATTCATCATAATACAAAGTTCTGACCTCCAATTCATTTTATGCCAAAAACTACTTCATGACAGTCAGTTCAAAGTGTATTTTTGTCCTTAAAACACTTTTACTGGCCGTTTGATTGGGCCTCTCTGGAGTGCCAGACGGGCCGAGGGTTTGCACTTTTAGGAGTAATCCATTGTCCAGGCAAGCTCAATCAAGGCAGCACTAACAGATCTTGGACCAGGATATAGCTCACCCTCTTGTAATGAGATGGTGTTGAGGTGCTGCAGAAGCTGGGCCCGTGTCTCCATGTCCCCTGCCAGGGCGAAGGTGTAGGCCAGCAGAGCAGTAGTGTAGGTGTTGGACAAATCACTGGTCGAGTTCTTCAGGCAAGACAAGCTGCGGTCCACAACAGGATCCTGGAGCACAGAATAACAGCAGCACATTGAGACACTTCATAGTAGCATATTGAGTCTAATATCAATAGTAGCAGAACTATACCATTCAGATGTGTTCATGGTACAGCCCATTCTTTGTCATTTCATAGGCTACTTTCAAAGAAATAACAATTCCCCTGTAACTCACTACATTGTATAATCTGTAAGATGTATACAGACTTCATACAGGAAGCTAAATTAGTAGCCTGTAACAATGTTGCTGGAGTGAGAATCAATGTTTATATGGAGTGAGGTTACTTACCGACACTGACATGTCGAGCTCCAGCATTGAAGCAGTGACGTAAGCAGTCAGTGTGACTTCATCCGTCACGCCACCCTATAAAACAATGTCAAAATACTAACTGTATCTAGCCTGATACAATTGTTGAAATCAAACTTTATGACTGGTCTGCCGAAACAGACTACGTCTAACATCGTTCAGTTTATTAGCAATATAAATACCTTCATTCTGTTGTTAAAGAGTTTCCCCAAAATTCTGAAACAGCCATGTTTGCCTTGTTGACTTTCCAACCAAGTCTTGGATTGCTCCATTTTTGCCGGGTCAATATAGATGAAAGACCGTGCTTTGCCAAAGGATCTCAAGACAAAAGCAGTCAGCCTGAAGAAAGAACTTGATTTAAAAGCAGTCATAATATCCACATAAGATGGTCATAAGTGACTTAGAGCTTCACATTACATAGCCATGGTCTCCCTGCCAGAGACGATGCCATTTGATTGGCCACTACTTCATTGAAACAGACAGTTGTTTACAAGCCAAGTACTCACCAAGTGTTCCCCAAGCCTTGTCCAAAGGTGCTGTATGCACCGTCAGCATTCTTGTAGTTCAGCTGCCTTTGGTAACCTGTCGGTGGGTTTTTAGAGTGAACAGTGACCAAGTGGTTTTTATAGTCACTGGGTTTGTGCCCCAAATGGCTCTCTATATCAGGGCTCTTCAACCCTGTTCCTGGAGAGATACCCTCCTGTAGGGTTCACTCCAACCCAAGTTGTAATTAACCCCATTCAGCTCATCAACCAGCTAATTATTTAAAAAAGGTCAGTTAGAGTAGGGTTGAGTGAAGCCTTACAGGACAGTATCTCTCCAGGAACAGGGTTGAGTCCTGCCCTATATAGTGAACTACTTGAGACAGGAAAATAGTGCACTATGTAAGCAATAGGCTGCCATTTGGGACAGAGTGTCAATATTCTACGATCAAATGATTTCAGTGAGAAACCATGTGGAAGTCCCTCCATGTGTTGGGTCAGTGATGTCATCTGTACTGTAGCTCCATCATTTACATGACAACAGGGTCCTAGTCATTAGGGCACACTGGAGAAACCTTTTACTGGACAAATCCAGCCCTGTTTCAGTAAGTTTGTCTATAATAAATATTAGCCAGATTCAAAAGGGACACTCCTACCACTAGTGAGGAACTTGGTGGCCTTGTCTAGGATGGCTGGGGTGAGCTGCCCTGTGTTCCTCAGGTACTCCAGGATGTAGATATTGGGGGAGAGGAGGGCCATATTCTGCTCTCCACACCCATACGGCATCTGCAACAGTCCATCCAGGTTGTTGAGGGCCCGACCCAGGATGTCCCCTACAGAGAAACAAGGGACTTCTGTAAGACGGTCCTCTTCAGCAAACAGCAGCATTATCACTGGAGAAGGGTTGTCTTCCCACCACTACACCTCTAAACAAACCATAGTTTATTTTACCCAGAACGGTGAGGGAAATTCTATCAGATCCATCCACCACATTCTGGGGGAGTTGCAGTTCCACCTCCTCTGTCAGAGTTTCTCCTGTGGACACAAAGATAAGATGAATGGCGAAGAGCACGTCGAACAACCGTGAACATTCATTCATTACTGACCAGTTGGACACAGCAACCAGTTGTAGGTGTCGGTCTTCTCTGTTCCCTCAGCCTGGAGGACAGGAGAGGGATTCTTTTCAGAGGCAGTTACACTAGACAATCTGTGCAACCTAACGGTTAGTTCCCAGCAGCAAACTACATACCGTCACCAGCAGGCTCCGTGTGACTGTGTCAACACGTCCTCTCTCCGGTACGTTCACAATCTCATGGTCACACGCAGTGTGGGAATGGACAGCCTCTGCACTAACGGACACGTTCAAAACCCCTACACACATTGGCAGACAGGTTACACAACATCCAACACAGTGACAGTACACAACTCAGGTTGCCATCCATTCTGCTGTTTGAACGGTTGACGGGAGACTTACCCAGGACAGAGGGAGCCATTGTCCAACTGAAGGTCTTCCGTCCATTGGCACACAAGCATGAGGAGTAGTGGACGTCATTCAAGGGTGTGAGAGTGTAGTCTGAGGAGAGAGCCGGAGTCACAGAAACCTGCCGAAGAGGAACACTTTGTAAGATAACATGGTCTGACAAAAACTAAATACGATCCTGGTGCAGTGCTGTACCATGATGCACTTGGAGAGGTAGTTGAACACAGTGGCCTTCAGCTCAAAGTGCTCTCCCCGGATGACTGAGTAGGGCAGGGTGAGCTCCAGGAAAAACGGCTGGAAGACCGTGAGCTCCACCAGAGGAGCCAGACCAAAGCCACTGGGGGCCAGGCAGAAGACCTCAGTCTCCCAGGTGGTGATGGTGTCTGGGACTGTCAGGGGGACGTCTGCTGATCCAGACTCCCTGGAATACAGAGGTTAGAGTTTAAACAGAAAGTCACCAAGTGTCCAACAGCGAGTGGAGTAGGACTGTACCAATTATTTGAACACCGTTTCGAATGCATTTAGCTTTATCTAACCAGGGAGACCCATTGAGGTTAAAGGAGCTCTTTCCTAAGAGAAACCTGGCCTACTCTGTACTACAGTTTAAAGAGGTTCAGGTTCCTAATCTAGCTAAGAGGGTTTTCACCCAAGGCTAACCTCACTGTGCAGAGCACTTACCCAACTTCCACAAGATCCCAAATCCATGTCTCAGGGAAGAATGTACGGACCGTCTGTATGGGTGGCGGAGGTGTTGGGGCAACTCCACCAGCTATAGCCATTTCAAGTCTAGGACCCGCTGATCCAGGCCCGGCCATAGGTCTGTAAGCTACTAACACAAATCATGCACATTTTTCTCAAGTTAAAATGGACTGAATGCTTTGCTCAACAGTGAGCGCATGCAGCGTTCTGACCCCTTTAACCAGGCTGTGTTAGTAATCCATTTCCCAAGAATCATTGAAGACTTCTAGCAATGAGAATAAGGGTTGGTTAGGACATCTCACCATAGGAGCGATAGTACTGGTTCCCCTGGTAACTGAGGCAGGAAGGTATTCTTATATCCAGATTAGTCGCCAGCTTCAGTCCCAGTGCCTATGAAATGCCATCAAATTATTTAAAAAGTTGTATTTGTCACTGTACATGTGTTCTAGCCTCAGGCTATTTTAGCAATGTAACCTGTAAGTTGAACACATCGTAACGGTATGGTGACTGATTCTTCCCAGAGCAATAAAGAGGCTTCAAAAGTTGAGAACAGGGCAGAAGTATTTACCTGAAAAACTGCATAAGGATCATTTGTCTCCCCAGACGTTCCATCTGGGTACGGCATTATGGATCTCCTTGGTCTCACACGTAAACATGCTACTGAATCTTCAAGCTCGTAGGGAATATAGGTTGTCTCCTTGACTGGTAACAAATCAAATATCTGGAATGGGACAATATGGGAAGGAGTGAAATGACGTTCTTGGGGACCAAACAGAACAGACTGAAACAGGGAGGGACTACTTGGACTAAGAAGAACCTCCATGTTGTTTCCCCATTGCCAAACGTCTAGAAAAGTGTCCTGATGAACACAACCCAGAATATTACCTCATTATGTAACAATAGTGAGGTGATTTCCAGTCAATAGAAAGAGGGCCTCAAGCCAGAGAATAAGTCCCATTACCTTTGATAAAAGCACACCAAATGACCAACAGTGAACAGACCCATTCCATGTCTGCTGTGGTCAATGGTTCTTCCCCTGAGGCTGGTTGTATTCCCAGCACCACCAAAACAGTCGGTATGGTGGTAGGACTGTTGTTCACGTCAGTGAGCTCTGTTACCTTATCAGCATCCAGCCTCTTCCCTGGCTCCATGATGCCAACACTCTGGTCCACAGCGCTGAGGCCACAGAGGGAACCGGGCTGGGCAGAGAGATGCAGGGTGTTCTCCTCCCCTGGGACCGCATTGGAGGGGGAGAACTCCACCAACACCTGGCATACACATTATACACTTTTACTGCAGGTATGATACAGTATCTATGTGCATGGAAATAATTGACACTTCATACCCAACATAAAATGAGAACAATGTTTGTGATGTGCACACCTTGTTCCTGAAGCATTTCTCAGTGGGGAAGTTCATGCTGTGGGCGATGACAGTCTCACTGGGTAGCATACTGTACACCAGGAGCTGAACCACCGGCGCCATCTCTGGAACCACTGCCAACTTCAAGGTGACTTCACCCTCAGCTACTGCAACGCAAGAGCAGGTCACACTGCCATCAAGCGCCTTCCAGAACGTTCAGAATCACTTAATGAAACTCACTCACCAGGACTGTCCTGCTGCACAGTAACGTTCTTGTGTCCATGCTGAACTATCACCCCTCTGGATAAGGCCTGGAGAGAAAGGGGGAAACAGTGGTCATCAACTCAGAAAGGAGATGATGCAACCTGGACTCAAGGGGTAGACGTGGTAAACAAATCCAGGACACAGCAATTAGTATGATGTTATGTGGATGTCCATCCATTTCGTATAGGTTACGAGATGTATGATATGTTACGAAGTCCAATTTGCTGTGGCTTATGTTATCGAGGTGGCTAATACTAAGGTTTAGGCTGGATGATTAGGAGTTTGTGTTGTATAGGAACATCCTTTTGAAAAGTGCGAGGCTTGGGCAATGTCTGAAATGATCCTGGTCAAAAGTAGTGCAACTAGGAAATATGGTTCCATTTGGGAGCCACCCTGGGTTTGGAAGTTGTCAACTAGTTCCTGGGTTCTACTCACCAGGTAGAGGACATCCACAGAGCCCTTTGGGACGGTCTCCCCTACGATGGCATAGTGGATGGTGATTGACCCTTCCTCCCCACATGCCAGTGGTTTCTCCATCTTCTGAATAGCCAGGGAGCTGGAGGGTTTACTGTCAGGGGCAGCGGGCTGGATCAGGGAGAGGACGTGACGCCCTCTGTTGAAATAGGGGACCCTGTATCCTCGGTACTCCACTTGTGGGGTGTCACTTACCTGTAAAGGAACAAGAGGAGGAGTCTAAAGGACCAATCCTAAATCAACCCCTAGACCCGATGTTCTACATACAGTGGTGATATGAGGGGAGGACAGATGTAAGCAATATGGTAACAGATCCACCTTACCCTCTGATAGGCTTGGTGGAAGTTCCACCATGCTAACATTACCAATTCAATCTTCTCAGATCCCCACAAGACCATGATAGGCCTTAGGGTAGCGTTTCCCCCAACTCTGTCCTGGGGACCCCAAGCGGTGCACATTTTGTTTTTTGCCCTAGCACTACACAGCTAATTCAAATTAATCAAATCTTGTTAAAGAGTCCGTTATTTGAAATCAGCCGTGTAGTGCTATGGCAAAATTCAAAACATGCACCCCTTGGGGTCCCCAGGACAGTTAGGGAAACGCTGGCGTAGGATCAAGGGCTGAGTTGGTCTTGAGCATAAAGAGGCTGTCAAAACCTAGAAGGAATCATACTTACTATGAGGTTAATATTCTCTTTGGGCATACTGGTTGTGTTTAGGGAGAACCTGGCAATACCACGACTGTCCGTGGTTAGGTTCTGTAGTTGTAGATATGAGGACCAGCCCTTCTCCTCCAACAGGTAGACTAACATGTCAGACATGGGTGTGTGGTTGAAGTGAACAGCATATATCTGAGGAAAAGGGGGGAGTTGTATGAATGAAGTGACGCTACATGTCATTAACTAACACATACTGGTAGTTCAGCAAGCAGGGCAAAGAACAAATGCCCTCCACAATGCAACAGAAACACTGTATTTGGACTTACCTTGCCCTCAATAATTGATCCATGCTCATAGATTTGGGGCGTGTCGACAAATGAGAGTTCTCCAATCACATAGGAGAGCGCTATGCGTTTTTCCTCTGACCGTGTAATACCTGTCAAAGGAAAATAAATAATAGGATGGTATATTTCACAATTACCAGAGCCAACACAATGCACAATGGCAGTTCAAAACGCAGAAACTGAATTTCAGTACAGCAGGATATTATAAACAGACGACAATAAAACAGCATTCTATAAAACAACGCTGTAGCACCAAAGGTCAAACAGCTCATTCTTGCCAATCTTCATGATCTAACGCAGAGTTCCTCCAACTCCGTCCCGGGGTCCCCCGTGGGTGCAGGTTTAGGTTTTTTGCCATAGCACTACAGCTGATTCAAATAATCAAAGCGTCATGATGAGTTGGTTATTTGAGTCAGCTGTGTAGTGCTAGGGCAAAAACCAAAACGTGCACCCAGGGTGGGCCCCAGGACAGAGTTTGGGAAACCCTGATCTAATGAAACATGCACTAGTTATTTCATGTCATTTACTCAATAAAACACATCATTTGACAGCAATGTTACCAATGATTGTGATAATACTAACCTGTCCCCTCCTCCTGTACTTCTGCATGGAAACTAAACACGTCTCCCAGCAATTTCTCTCCTAAATTCTTTGTGAAAATTGCCATGTTGAAGACATAGGAAGCACAGCCAGTTGGGTCCATCTGGGAAAAGCAAGCAGAACCAAACACACTGAGAACAGATTTAAATTAATTCAATCAAACATTAAGAACCAAGTTAAATAAATTAAAATGTAATATGTTGGTATAAACAGTCCTACTAATGATCGTTTTATGACAGCATACAGACCTCTATTGACTCTTTGTGGCAGGGAGGTGTGTAATCAGGAACTCCTTGTGGATGTTTCTCATCAATTGTTATCGGTATCACTACATTGTCCCCCAAGAGTCGGCACAACTTTAACCCTGCTTTACCAGGTACAGGCTGTCCATACGTGTACCTGATTTCAATTCATAGGACAAAAGAATCAAACAATTTCCTACGTCGACAATCACCATATTAAAAACCTAATACATTTACATTACATTTACATTTTAGTCATTTAGCAGACGCTCTTATCCAGAGCGACTTACAGGAGACAAAGGTTTGTGCATACCTGTAGGCTTAAGTCAAGTGTTCAACATGGCCAATGAATCTGGACCCACATTCATAAAGACTCTCAGAAAGGGATCAGTTTGAACTTTAGGATCATAATGAACAAGGTCACATGTCATGGGGGGGGACCGGATCCTAGAGCAGCAATCCCAATCTGGAGATGCTTTATGAATACAGAACCAGCTGTTCATGTAAATGCCACTGTAGCAAACGTTTGAAGTGTCAGGGATTAATAGCAGCAGTTCAGGACATTGAGCAGTAGCATTGTAGGTCTTCAATTAGCATGTGTCATTAGTGAAGACCTGGGTTCAAGTAGCTTACATGCATATTGAAGTATTTGTATTTTAAATCATTATTAATATAATATTATTATTTTCAAATACATGCCAATACTTTCCAAGTGTTTATCCAAATACCTTCAATTACTTGTATTTTCAAAGAAAGAATAACCAAATACTTAAAATCTTTCACATTTCAAACTATTAAAATTACTTATTAGAACCCAGGTCTGCATTAGCGTAATGCGATTATTAGATCATTCCATTTAGTGGAGTTACACATCACCTTGTAACTATAGTGCATTGACATCTCCGTTAGCGTTTACTCACTTGGCACACACTTCCACTTCATACTCTTCTTGAACAATGCTGATCTCGTCGGTGAGGTTCATTTTGATCTCAAACTTTGGCAGAACTACAGATAAAAGAACAGCAGTCAACTCTAGAATGTTCCAGGATTGTGATGCATTGATTCAACTGCCAGAGCCATAACATTACCTAGCATGACAGGTAAAAGAAAAAAGCTCAACCTACCATACTTTTCTACCTTGAAGTTCTGGTATATTTTGTCTTGACCAATCCACACTACAATGGCATAGGATCCTACAGGTGCTTCAGAGTTCAGGGGGTGAGAAAGCTGCAAAATGTTGCCACTGGATGTAGTGTTGAGCCACTGTCCAATCCTGTTCTGATTAACATCCTGTTGGTTCATAGAACAAGATAACAGTATACAGGAGTCAGCTCTTTTCATGACATTTCCATCTGCAACATTGGCCTACTGAAGGGGGCCCAGAACACACAAAGCTGATTGGAAGTATTTAGCTAACCTCTACAGTAGGTGGAAATTAATGACGACCTAGCTAGCGGGTGGAGTCCTAATGTTGCAGTATTTACAGTGACAGTCATCATAAAGTTAGACTTGTAAGGGTCTTACCTCAAGTTCCACAATGTTGTACTGTGAAGGGCAAAGACAAGAGATGGGTTCATGGTTCATGAATAACTCCAAAACATCAGAGGAGCATAACGGTCTACAACTATAGGAACTAGACAGGTGATTGGCTTAGTGGGACTAATGTCAATTTAGTACATGAATTCAGTCTCAGGAAAAGATGATCCCATACATTCCAATCTGACCTATATGAATGGAAACCCCATGTCCTGACTGGTTGATTGCTGTACCTTGTGTTACATAATACTTGATTGCTATGCCCATCACAGTTGTGATACTTCTGTATCCGTATTTTGGTTTGAAATAGTAGACACCGATCTGAAGGACTGTTTTCAATATTACATTTGCAACACTCACCAGCTGATTGACAGGGCTAAAATTGGTATCCAAGGTGACGACTCTAAAATGCACTGTAAAAAGCCGATGACAAGAAAATGAGAATTTTAGAAGCATCATGTCGGACAACTGAAAATTCCAAGGTTTCCAGAAATCCTGGTTGGAGGATTCCCATCCTGATTCCAGGAATCTTTCACCCGGCATTTCTGGAAAACCAGGGAAACTGGTGAAGTAAGCAGAACTTGTCACAGCTACTCTGGATAATATTTTACACTGTTGGTACTAAGGCCCCAATTCAATCAATTGCAGATGAAGGAAAACTGCACTGCGAGTTCTGAATATATTTACACTATCCAATTACGTCCATGAGAGGAACATCTCGTAACATGTGGCATGTCGGTTCAAACTCCGTTCCAGTGTACATATCCTGAGTGACCCCACAGTGGGTTTTTTCCTGTATCTGCACCCCATTCCTGAATGAAGCTTTTCAGGCGTCCGTTTCCCTCTCCAATGTTCATAAGCCACGCATGATGTTAGAACAGGAGTGGCAGGACCAGGCCCCAAATCGACTGGGGGAAGCTCATAACAATGGTTCTTTTTCTACTACAGAAGATCATACAACTATTGCAGATGATCTTTGAAGTTCTCAATCCCTCCAATACTTCAAACCATACTTCCTTACAGGCTTTGGCATATACGGTCATAGACCCAAAATAAGAAAGGGAACATGGTGGGGGTCATGGAAAAGTTGATCTCAAAAATGGGGTCTGGGGCCCAAAAGTTTTGGAACTCAATCACCTATTGTCGTTTCTTAGCAACCAGACAAAGGTGTTGGGTACTGGCGTTCTAACATCACCTGTTTGTCTGGGTTATGATTGGTTTTCCGTTGGATGGAATGTTCATGGGGTGTAGGGTTTGAATATGACCCTTCCTCTCCTCTGTGATAGAAACGTGCACCTCGAAACTCCACCTTGAAGTTTGCAATTTGCCTCTTCACATGAGGGGCCTGTCAGGGGGAAGAGAGACAACACTGGTGAACTAATGGACCAACAACATAGGACATTAAGATGTGGTGCCGTGTGGCCCAGTTGGTAAGAGCGTGCCACTAGCAACTTCAAGGTAGAGCGTTTAACTCCTGCAGGGATCACATTATGCACTCCCCTTATTGGAAGTTGCTTTGGAGAAGTGTCATATATCAATTGTCTAGATAGTATATAGTAGCATTCAATCAAAACCTGGTACAAATTTGAGCCTGAATCCCAGAAAAGTTCTGGTAGGCCACCACATTGATATTTCCCATAAAATAAGCTGGCATTGCACCAAGAAACTAAGAGATTCAAAGCTGAGAAGTCCAGTCCACTCTTATTGGAATGGTTGTGGATGTCCACCAGTGCTGGGCTGACCTGAAACTGGAAGCAGCGATGAAACTCTTGGTCAGAACTCTTGTGGAGAAGTATTTTGTTCTGCCCGTCGGCCATCAGAGATATGGTCATGACCAGGGTCTCGTTGGGCTGCAGAAGGCTGGCACAAAGCTTGGCCTCTGAGCCTGCCTGGATCACTGCAGGAATGGCTACCATATAAACCCTACAGAGAACACAGGAAAATCAGTACCTAATGAGATGATACCTCAACACAAACCTAGGTGAAAAAGTGGCGCAGTGGTCTAAGGCACTCCATCGCAGTGCTAACTGTGCCGACTAGAGATCCTGGTTCGAATCCATGGCCTCTGTCGCGGCCGGCTGCGCACAATTGGCCCAGCGTCGTCCAGGGTTAGGGGAGGAATGGCCGGCAGGGATGTAGCCTCAGTTTGATGACGCATGGCGTTTGCAACACCCAGGGTTGTGGGTTCGGTTTTCCCACGGGGGACCAGTAAAAAAAAAAAAATATTATTCACTAACTAAGTCGCTCTGGATAGAGCGTCTTTCTAATGACTAAAATGTAAATGTAAAAATCCTGTGGAGATAAAGATCTGCAGAAGGTCACAAAAAATTGCTCTAATCTGCTCCGACAGACAAGCGACCCAAGTCTGATGACTAATTTCTAACTTCTGTGACTGCAGATTTACTTACGGTCCTGCAGTTTCTTGACAGACACAAATCCAGTGAATGCAGGCAAAGAGTATCCATCTCCAAACCTGAAGCCCAGGAAGAACCATGACTAAAGGAGAAAAATAAACCAAGTCAGTTATGACTCAGTATTCCTACTGGGAAGACCTCCCTACAGGTTTTGTCGAGATTGGATACATTTTAGCAGCCTCCCATTTTGACTGACATTTTACCCATTTTGCCATGGGGCAGAGCATTTAAAAAAAATATGACCAATTTCATGCAATTCCACTAATTTTACCATGGGGCAGAGAAAAGATGAGGCCGTTTTACAACTTATTTCCTGCAATTCTACACATTTCCCCATGACTATGCCATGTTAATGATATCCGAGTGAGTTACTAGCAAACATCAATGTTTGTCTATTGTACATAGGCTACTCTGTTGCTAAACCCTTTTGGATTGTATTTGGTACAGCCAGCTGAAAGTAAAAAATGTTAGGCGCTAACTTTTTAGTAGTTACTCGCCGACCTGTTGTTATGGGAATAATGATTGCACCACAAATTGCCATAACACCCGTGGTCTTTGCATACTCACCACCGCGGATTGTTTGTCGACGATTTAGAAAAGGTACATCTCGGTCATGTCCTCTTAAATATCCGGCAGGTGCGCCGCTAGTTCCGGATTTGTTTTCTTATTACTAAGTGCGCACACCTGCTGGATATTGAAGGAGTTCGATTAGGCTGAACCGGGGTGCACCTGACCGGGCAAAGCCGGTAGAGAGGAGCGCCTTTCTCAAATCGAACAGTAATCTACGCGGCCCTGTCATAATTGTTAACAAGGCAGCATGGTGCATTTAAAAAAAAATAAAAAAATTATTTAACCTTTATTTAACCAGGTAAACCAGTTGAGAACAAGTTCTCATTTACAACTGCGACCTGGCCAAAATAAAGCAAAGCAGTGCGATAAAAACAACAACACAGAGTTACATATGGGGTAAAACAAAACAAAGTCAAAAATACAACAGAAATACATATAATATACAGTGTGCAAATTTAGCAAGTTATGGAGGTAAGGCAATAAAATAGGCTATAGTGCAAAATAATTACAATTAGTATTAACACTGGAATGATAGATGTGCAAGAGATGATGTGCAAATAGAGATACTGGGGTACAAATGAGCAAAATAAATAACAATATAGGGATGAGGTAGTTGGGCGGGCTAATTTCAGATGGGCTGTGTACAGATGCAGTGATCGGTAAGGTGCTCTGACAACTGATGCTTAAAGTTAGTGAGGGAGATAAGTGTCTCCAGCTTCAGAGATTTTTGCAATTTGTTCCAGTCATTGGCAGCAGAGAACTGGAAGGAATTGCGGCCAAAGGAGGTGTTGGCTTTGGGGATGACCAGTGAGATATACCCGCTGGAGCGCAGACTACGGGTGGGTGTTGCTATGGTGACCAATGAGCTAAGATAAGGCGGGGATTTGCCTAGCAGTGATTTATAGATGGCCTGGAGCCAGTGGGTTTGGCGACGAATATGTAGTGAGGACCAGCCAACAAGAGCGTACAGGTCACAGTGGTGGGTATTATATGGGGCTTTGGAGACAAAACGGATGACACTGTGATAGACAACATCCAATTTGCTGAGTAGAGTGTTGGAGGCTATTTTGTAAATGACATCGCATTTTGTAAATGACATCGCCGAAGTCAAGGATCGGTAGGATAGTCAGTTTTACGAGGGCATGTTTGGCAGCATGAGTGAAGGAGGCTTTGTTGCGAAAATGCATCGTTCAGGAACATACATGTATTTTCCATAAAATGTTGGAATATTTCCAACATTGGAAAGACACTTAAAGCACATAATGGGGATTTTATCAATACCAAACGCTTAGGCCTATGGCATGCATATGAAAACTCAGAATCCTAAATCATTACTCCGCGTGCTTGAACTAGATCACCTTGTTTTGAGCCATGTGCCGCCAAAAACAAACCGGAGGCAGACCGGTTACAAAACGAATGCAATCACGTATCACCCTGTGCAAACTCCTCCCGGCCAGATCATTGTTGTCCTTTATAAAAGCTGAATTTCTTCCACTATTGCTGCGTTTACAACCAAGTGGGAAGTGGGAATTTACCACATACAACTGGGAAGAATCCACTTCAACAGCCCTCCTACTGGTAATTACTAGTGGGGAAACTGGTCTGTCATCCTGAGCTCCAACATCTCCACATGCTTACCTCTGATGTCACCTACTACGGAAATTACCTCGAGAACTTTCAGGAGTTAAATGCAACAACAAAACATTATTTATATAATGCAATCTATACTGAACAGTAATATAAACACAACATGCAACAATTTCAAAGATTTTGCTCAGTTACAGATCATATAAGGAAATCAGTCATCTGAAATAAATTCATTAGGCCCTAATCTATGGATTTCACATGACTGGGCAGGGGTGCAGCCATGGATGGGCCTGGGAGGGCATAGGCCCACCCACTGGGGAGCCAAGCCCTGCCAATCAGAATGAGTTTTTCCCCACAAAAGGGCTTTATTACAGACAGAAATACTCCTCAGCACTTTACTTGTTGCGTTTATATTTTTGTTCAGTTTATTAATATGGTTTCTGAACACTATAATTGGTTTACATGCATGATAGCTGTACTTTAAGTTTATGGTTTGCCCAGCTTGTTGGCCATTAGCCAATCAGCGTTTTTCTCAACGAGTTCAAAGCACGTTAATGCATCCAACTGGTATTTACGACTTCACAACTGGTAAATTCCCACCTCCCACTTGGTTACGAATGCAGCATATGTATTGGCCATTGAGACAAGTATGGGTAACTGCATACTTGGGGAGATTCTTGTTTGGGCAAAAGACCGTCCTCCATCCTCTCTCCTCCGTCCTCTCTCCTCCGTGACCCAGAAACCGATAAGTGGTCGAGTGGTCCAGGAGTGTGTCAATTCGTTAGTTGACAAACGGAAGAGTGTCCTCTATAGCCACTTTTCATTGAGGATAGTCAGGATGTGTATCCTACTGCAGAAGAGTTTTGAAATCTGCCAAACCCAATTTGCAGAAGGGTTTTGAAATCTGTCAAACCCAATTTGAATCAGCCAATTTGAAAAACCCAATTTTTTTCTCAGGAGAAAAAACATGCACATGTTTAAAAACAATATGCTACTTATCCTTTTATCTATAACATGGCAGGTTAGGAGAACTAACGTAACAGGTTAGGATAATTAACATAGCAGATCAGGAGAATTAACGTGGCAGTTTAGGAAAACTAATGTAGCAGGTTAGGAGAACTAACGTGGCAGGTTAGGATAATTAACATAGCAGATTAAGAGAATTAACGTGGCAGATTAAGAGAATTAACGTGGCAGGTTAGGAGAATTAACGTGGCAGGTTAAGAGAATTAACGTAGCAGATTAAGAGAATTAACGTGGCAGGTTAGGAGAATTAACGTGGCAGGTTAGGAGAATTAATGTGGCAGTTTAGGATAATTAACGTAGCAGATTAAGAGTATTAATGTGGCAGGTTAGGAGAATTAACATGGCAGGTTAGGAGAATTAATGTGGCAGGTTAGGAGAATTAACGTGGCAGGTTAGGAGAATTAACATAGCAGATCAGGAGAATTAACGTGGCAGTTTAGGAAAACTAATGTAGCAGGTTAGGAGAACTAACGTGGCAGGTTAGGAGAATTAACGTAGCAGATTAAGAGAATTAACGTGGCAGATTAAGAGAATTAACGTGGCAGGTTAGGAGAATTAACGTGGCAGGTTAAGAGAATTAACGTAGCAGATTAAGATAATTAACGTGGCAGGTTAGGAGAATTAACGTGGCAGGTTAGGAGAATTAACGTGGCAGATTAAGAGAATTAACGTGGCAGGTTAGGAGAATGAATGTGGCAGTTTAGGATAATTAACGTAGCAGATTAAGAGTATTAATGTGGCAGGTTAGGAGAATTAACATGGCAGGTTAGGAGAATTAATGTGGCAGGTTAGGAGAATTAACGTGGCAGGTTAAGAGAATTAACGTAGCAGATTAAGAGAATTAACGTGGCAGGTTAGGAGAATTAACGTGGCAGGTTAGGAGAATTAACGTAGCAGATTAAGAGAATTAACGTGGCAGGTTAGGAGAATTAATGTGGCAGTTTAGGATAATTAACGTAGCAGATTAAGAGTATTAATGTGGCAGGTTAGGAGAATTAACATGGCAGGTTAGGAGAATTAATGTAGCAGGTTAGGAGAATTAACGTGGCAGGTTAGGAGAATTAACGTGGCAGGTTAGGAGAATTAAAGTGGCAGTTTAGGAAAACTAATGTAGCAGGTTAGGAGAACTAACGTGGCAGGTTAGGAGAATTAACGTAGCAGATTAGGAGAATTAACGTGGCAGATTAAGAGAATTAACGTGGCAGGTTAGGAGAATTAACGTGGCAGGTTAAGAGAATTAACGTAGCAGATTAAGATAATTAACGTGGCAGGTTAGGAGAATTAACGTGGCAGGTTAGGAGAATTAACGTGGCAGATTAAGAGAATTAACGTGGCAGGTTAGGAGAATGAATGTGGCAGTTTAGGATAATTAACGTAGCAGATTAAGAGTATTAATGTGGCAGGTTAGGAGAATTAA